ATCACTTTAAAGAAATCAAACTGGACAGTGGGTTTGAAGACAGGTACTCGCTCCTCCGGGAGACACACTGGTTGGCAGAGGTGCTGGCGGAATCCAGGACATCTATGTAGCTGTCAGCGAATTGCCTGTGATACTCGTGCAAAAGGAGAGAGGCTTCTGACCACAAGAGAAGGGAGTCTTGTGTGACGAAAGGAGGTTGGGCTTTAAAGAAAAATCAAATTACTAAGGAAAAGAAGCTTTAAAATGCTGGGGGAAAAAATAACCCCAGTTCATAAGGTATTGTGTGGGGTTTGTCTTTGTGTACTGTAGTGGGTTTTTTTTTAATCAGAAACAGTTCAAAACTAAAATCTTTCTGAAATTCATTACATTCTTTTAAGCAAGGGTGTAGAGGGTTCTCAGAGACCAAAATGTGCATTCACAAAGCCTCAAACAGGGACTCCAAATGGAAACTGCATGAGAATAAAGAGGAGCATAGCAAAGCCTGGAACATTTCTCCATACTTCTTAAGCATCAGAAAGCTGTCCCTACTGAATATACACAAAGGATCTGAATCTAATACAATTCTCTCTTGCTATTGAAAACAACTCAGATTCAACAAACAGAAATACACTGTGCCCATTCTGTGCCAGGCTCTCTGTTGGATTCTGGGGCTACAGTGAACAAAACAGGACTGATCTGGACTATTTTCTTAAATAATGTGCATGCAGCAGCCATAAAACAGTGGGATCAAAGTGTGTCTCTTTATTTGTTCACCAACAGTTTCATTTGAACAAAACCTCTTTTGATTCCTACAGATCTAGTAATGTCACCTGCTTCTATGGATTCAGAGTTATAAGAAACAAACATTAAACCAATAACCACACAAATTATTCATTAATTCCAAGGATGGTATGTACTATAAAGGAAAGGAGTCGTTGCTAAGTGTACATACAACAGGAAGATCCAATCCTGGCACGGGGACAGGCATGAAGGAAGGTTTCTGAGAAAATGACCCTGAGGCTGAGAACTGAAGAGTGAAGAGACGTTAGCAAGGCGAAGTGAGGAAGGAAGAACATTCTGGTACAATCCCACATCACTGAATTAGAATTGTACTCCCATTACACGTTTGACAGACAGAACCTAGAACAGAGACTCCAGTATAGACTCTGTGCTTAATAATATTTGCTGAATGAATAAACAAATCACTGCCACTACCAACGTCTACTGTTGGGAGATATTTTGCGGGTGTCTGCTCAACTCCCGATCAATCTCATCTCTGAGAACCATTTCTCCCCGAACAGGGTGGTCTATGAAGATGTACTTGTTCTATGTGATCGTGTCCTTGGACCAGAGACGGATGGCTTCTGAGTCAACGAAAATCTCAGAGACTCTGGTATAAAGACAGAAAGTTGCTAGTTTCAGTATTCGAAAGGGATGAGAAGTAAGAAGCAGAGAAGCCTGCTGAAGGAAAAGAAGAATGAAGCATGTGCGTGGAGAGCTGCATTCATGGGGGCAGACAGACGGCAGAAGAGGGCAAAGGGAGAGACTGGGGGCTGTAGGACTGTCAGCAGCAAGATTTTTACTCGCAGCTTGGGTCCTGTTCAGATGTGGTGTCCAGGCTCAGCCCACGGCACCCCCTGGCAGCTCATGTCTAGAGACTCTAAAGGGAAGAAGAGGCACAGTGAGGGCAAACACCCTAGAAATGCAGCCATGCGACACGGACCTCGCCATGACATACAAGCGCTGAATTCAGGTTTCAGGTAACTTGCACATTGCAGGCACAGAATTGCAGGAGCACAACCTGTCTTTTCATTTATTTAACGTCAGTCTCATTTTAGCAGAACTTTACTTCATTTCAACAAATCTAGAAAGATCATCCACCTTCATGAGCAGAGAAAGGCAGGTGACACAAGATGTTTACACTGATCAGAAATGGGCAACCTCATTTTACCACAATTAAAAAGGGGGGGGAATAAAAGAAATGGGTAATCTCTAGGAAAAATCAAAGACTTGGGTTTGCAATGTTTTCATCATATCACATATTCTAGAAGAAAATCATCAACTTGAATTTATTTCAAATGCAAATGAGAAAAGAACCAAAGAGCTTCCCAAGGGACTCTATAATTGAAGATGCATCAAATTTGGAGTAATTTATAAGTGTCTTCCAAGAGAAAGTACCCAAAAAAACACAAAGATTTTTTTACAGAAAACCGGAAGTCAGGCAAACAGACTAACAAAACATAGCTGTTAGAGTTACATTATTGATGGCATTGCAATTTAGAGCTCTGGTTCACTTTAAAGACCATCAAAACACACAGTGAGAAGGAACTGATCTCAGATTTATCACCTTCCAGGAAAAAACTAAGGTACAACCACCAAAATAATAATGCCCAGCTGTTGCGGATCAAACTTCAACTTCAGAGGATTTAGATTTTAATGAGTCTCTGTTTCCACATACCTAAGTTTTTCTGTAATGGTTTGTTCTGTTCTCAGCCTTATTCCCTCAGCCCCAATCTTAAAGGGCAATTTTTTTCAAATTCACTGTATTCGGGAAGCAGGTAAATAAGAGATCTAGAATGCATGTCATCAGCTATTTGGATCTAGCTTCAGTTTAAATGAAACGTCAATGCCTTGATTTAGTGCATGACAATTTATCACCCCAGGCTGACCTCTACAGAAAATGTAGGAGAGTACAGATGTGATCCTGTTTTTTTTTTCCATTTCCCCTGAAAGCCAACTCAGTTTTCCCCCTTTTGTTGGTAATAACGTAGAAAAGATGACCTGAATCTGAGATGTCAGAGTGAAACCATCAAGTCAGCGTTTAGAGTCAACCTTTCTCCACGGCCAGACAAGTCAGGCTAGGATTTCCTCCTAAGTTCTATCCTGATTTCCCAAATAGGACCATGAAAAACTCCCCACTTGTACAAGCTGTGGGAAGATTTGACTTTGTTTTTCTAAACACTGCCTAAGTGAGCTTTAAGAACCCACGACTGCACCAGACACCCCTTGCACTGCTATAATTTTTTAAACGTTCATAGTCACTTTATAGAAAGAATGGTATATATAAATGACCGCCTCAGCTATCACTTTAAAGGGAAGTGTTAAAATTAAAATGGGTCCTCTAGGAGTTTGGAATTTGTAGATACTGACAGGCATATGGAGAATAGATAAACGAGATTATACGATATAGCACAGGGAAATATATACAAGATCTTGTGGTAGCTCCAGCGAAAAAAATGCGACAATGAATACATGTATGTTCATGTATAACTGAAAAATTGTGCTCTCCACTGGAAATTGACACAACGTTGTAAAATGACTATAACTCAATAAAAAGTGTTAAAAAAATTAAAATGGGTCTAGATTACAAAATCGTTCACTATTTCTTATACTTACCAAAAAGGTTTCATATATTTTAATTAAAAACAGTATTATAATTTTTTAAATAATTACAGATGAAATAACACCAGGGATTTGTTTCAAGATAAACCAGGGATGGGGCAATAAGTGGAGTGTAGTTTAAAAAGACTGGCCAGATAGCAACCACTGTTCATGCTGAGTGATAAGTATACACTGCTGTAACTATACCATTCTCTCTGCTTTTATCTATACTTGAAATTTTGCATAATAAAAAGTTTTGAAAAATAGGTTTTTCATTCAAACTTTGATGTAAGGTTTCTAAAAGTTCAGTACTTATCCATCTTACCTCATCAGGCTTTATAGAGACTAAATGAAATGAAGTGAGTGTAATTAAATGAATGTTGAAATGCTGCCTTTTATTATCTAGGCTGGAGGGACAGAAGGAAGAGAACAATGAGCTTGAGATTTAAAATAAAATTCTGACTCATGGTGTTGATTGTCACTTTCTCAACAGTGCTTTTCATCAGTGTCTTCCCTCTCTCAACTCCAAGCTCCTTAAAGACGAAACCCTGTCCATCTTGCTCACCATGTTGTCCTTGGTGACAAACCCAATGCTGGTGATAAAAGAATAAACGTGAGGTCAAGTCCCTGTTCAGCAATGTGGAGCCAAGACCATGACTGTTCTATACTCTATCCATCCTCGGGGCTGCAATTCAATCAATATTTGTGGTACAGAAGCTGGACAAGTTACTCAACTTCCCTGAGCCAGAGGCTAATCATCTGTAAACAGAAATAGCATCTCTCTCACCAAGTGGATCTGATACACTGTGGTTAAAAGGACTTCACGTGGCCATTCATTCACTCACACATTTTATAAACATTTACGAATTCTAAAGTCCTACACAAAGTATAAAGTAATCACTCCCATAAACAGCGTAGTAATAATAAAATAACATAAACATTAGCTAAATGTAAATAGTCATTCAACAAACATTCATGGAATTTCTACTGTGTATCAGGCACTGTGCTACATACTAAGGATAACTACGAAGGTAAATATGGCACAAAAACAAAAAAAATTGTTTTTGAGGAAGTTTTCTATCAAAGGGACGAGACGAGAGAGAACAAGATTACAGTGTGTTGGTAGGTGACACACTTCAGTGCAACAGGAACACAGCCCATTCCCATTGGGGACATCTTCCTACCCAAGCCGGTTTCGGGAAATAAATCAGTTCACTTAATCTCTCAACATTATATATTTCAACTCCCAGATTAAAGCCATGATGAGGTATTTCTCTTTTACTTATTCACTGCAAGAAGGCTATGGATTCTTTCTTACGACCCCAGCCAATACTGGAAATCTTCCAAAGGAATTAGATCCTTTTGTTTTTCTGGGGTTTTGCCAGAGGTCCAAACCAAAAGAGCGAAATGGAGCTACTGGCTCATCCATTTAATATTAACTGCCAACTCCCTTCTCCCAGAACACAACGCCCTATTTTAAAAAGCACCCCCAGCAACTCGCTCTGTGTCAATCAATGGCCAAATTAAGAGAGGATGCAGATTCCAGTCTTTCAGCTCCAATTCCAAACACGAGACCAACTTCTCTTCCATTAAAATAGGATTTAATAATAAATCATGTAAAAAAATGTTCAATAACTTACCTCAAATTCTTCCCAAAAGCCTTGTTTGACTTTATCTGTGGTCTCAGCTAATTTGCTTAGTTCTCGAACTCGACTTTCTATTTCAGCAGCATTGATACGAGTTGTGTTGAGGGGCTAATCAAATTCAGCAGTTGGTGTGAAATAAAGTATTACAGAAAAAAAGTGTTAATGCAAAAAAAAAAAAAAAAGACTTCTATGTTGGTGTTCATAAAGGCAACACAGGAAGTTCACAGGACACAGTATTCACAGTGAAAGTTTTCAAAGAAGAGTTTCACTTTCTTTTCTCTCCTGTCAGGAAATATATCTTTCTTCAACCTCCACACACTTTACTCCGCTGATACAATTCAAACTTATTTTGCTTTATAAAAAGACTACAGTGTTAGAGAGGCAAAATCATCTGCCCTAAGGAATAAGAGTGAGCTCTGAAATAGCAGTAACTGCAAAGGGAAAAGATAAGATCACCTAAAGGGAACCAAATATGGATCTACAATGAAAACTTAATAAAAACTTGCTTCAAAAACTCCATAAGGCCTTTTAGAAATACATATGGAGATAGTCATGAAGATGATGTAATATCTAGAATGTTTCCAAATAGTACAGGAAGAAGGCAGTTAGTGGAGTAATAAACTAAAGAAGAATTGATGAGTTGATCATAATTGAAGCTGGGTGATGGTACGGGAGGTTCACCACACTATTCTACTGATGTCTACTTGGACTGTTCTAATTAGGGCTTTTTAAACTCTGTGAGGAGATGGAGTTTAGCTTTCCAATATGCTTACCTGCTTGAGTTGTAGCACTGTGCCCAACGTTTCTACCATAGGATTTTTCTTGTAATGCTCCACGAGATCTGTCAAAGAGTCAAACCGTTCTCCTCCACCAACATCATATTTCAATTCCTTTCAAGACAAAAAAAAATATGTTTATGACCTTTATATTAAATTACTGTTTTTCCCATCTCAAGGACAGAGACTAACTCTCCCCCAACAAAGGAAAGATCAAAGAGCCGTACGAGCACAAAGGGAAGCAACAAAGACGACAAAGATGGAGAAGTTGGCCCAACGAAAAAGAGGTCATTGTGAGGTGTGAGAAGCTCTAAATAAATATCCAACAGTAAATAGGCCACAAAAAAGTTTTTTCCTCATAAGTTCACTAAGTAGCTTAAAAAAAAATGAAAAACCGAATTCTTTACTGTTCACTTATACTCTAGGCTAAGTGACTTTTAAACACAAGGCTGCTGAATAGAAGGTAAATTACTTCTCTCTGAAACACAACAAACTCCAAGGCTGGTGAGGCAACACTGAAGCCCAAAATACATGTCTTTACTTTCATCTTCTTTTTTTTTCCTTTCATCTTCTAATGACAATTTAAAAGGGAAATTATACACAGAGACCAGGAAACTTTTTTCTGACAAGGAGACCAGAATAGGCTATTTCAGGAAAACAACAGGAAAATGGTTAAACTTAGAAAATACAAAACCCTCGAAATGATACACACTTGGTATATATACTTGGGAAAGAGCTTTTATTCAAAAGTCAAACTAGGCGGGGGAAAAGCACTTTCTGAATGACAAAGTGAGGACCTCTGAAAAATCCACTCTTCCACGAAAGTAACAAGAACCCTGGCAAAAATTGTCATCAGGTTTTTCAGGACTCTGAAAACTAACCAAGAACTTGTAACAGTCCAAGGAGCATTTATTCAAGAAAAAGGCTGAATCTTGATAAGAACAACAAACTGTGACCTTTTAACTTACCCTATTCCCACCTACCTCTCTCCAGCTTCTTGGTAGCATTAAAAACCAACAGCCTCATAACCATAGTAGCTGTGAAAACAAAGCAACTTAGCACAACTGGAGTAGACAGGATGGATCTGGGACTCTTTCAAGACCTATCTCAAGAGAATTATCACTATTTGACCTGTTTAGCAGCTCCCTGGGAGAGCCCTAATTTCAGAGATGGTCTTTATTTGACTGACAGAGCTCACTCAGACCGACCTTTAGGGAATCTCCTCAAAACAACTGGCAGCAAACGTCTTAATATCACAGCTGCCTGAGGCGGCAGTATCAGTTAGGGCAAATAAGAGACTGACCAAAAACTTACGAGGAAAATCTATGTCCACAGCGGGGCTCTGAAAACCTCCAAATATCCTTGAAAATCTAGAAGGTCATGTGCACGTGCAAGGCTATGTGAAGCTGAAGAAAGAGCAAAAAAAGCCCTAATCTTTGCCTCTCGCTGACCCTGAGGTTCCGTGCAAGCAGGAAGTGAAGGCTAAGGCAGAGTTTTAAACTGCCAGAGCACTGAAGGCAGATGTGCCCCAACACACATACACAAAGTCTCTCTGGCAAAGGCTGGGAAATTTAATGCTTCAAGGCATTTAAGAAAATCTCTGTACAATCATGAACTGACCACTAAGCTACCCAAGCAAAGACTTCAGTGTCCACACATGACAAAGAATACATGAAAATTACTGAACATACAAACAGCAACAACTACAGGAATAATAAAAAGTAACAACAAGAAACGCTGGGAGAGGAGGGCATCAGATTTCCAGAGTTGCCACATTATTTAAAATGTCTAGTTTCCAACAAAAAATTACGAGACATGCAAAGAAACAAGAATATGTGGTCCATACATGGGTGGGGTCGGGGTAGGGGGCTGGGGCACTCAGTAGAAACTGTCCTTGAGAAAACCCAAAGGCTTTAAACCAGCTGGTATAAATATATTCAAAGAATTAAAGGAAACTATACTTAACAAATTGAAAGAAAATATGAACATGATATCTCATCAGATACAGAATATCACAAAAACTTATACAAAAATATTCATAATAGCCAAAATGCCCATCAATTTTTTAACAGAGAAACAAAATACAGGCTATCCATATAATAGAATGTTTGACAATAAAAAGACAGTGTTTACCGAGACAGTACAACATGGACAAACCTTAAAAACATGCAAGGTAAAAGAACCCAGTTACAAAAGGCCACATATTACATTATCCCAGCTATATGAAAAATCCAAAATAGGCAAATCCATTGAAACAGACAGATTAGTGGTTGCCAAGAGCTGGGGGTGGTGAGTATTGAGAGTGAACAGTAATGAGCACAGAGTTTCTTTTTGGGGTGATGAAAATGTTCTGGAATTAGATAGTGTTTGTTGTTGGTTGTATAATTTGTGAATATACCAAAAACCACCAAATTGTCTACTTTAAAGGGGTGAATTGTATGATGTGTGAATTATATCTCAATAAAGCTGAGATATAATATCTTTTTTTTTAAATCTTTTTTAAAAAATTGAAGCAATAAGTGAATAGACAGTTGCTAATAAGAAACTATACCAAAACAAAGTCTGACGCAGTTGACCAAGAACCAACCTCCTTGGTCCAGCCACCACATTAAAAACAATTCTCCCAGCCTTAATGCAGGAGCTCAGTAATATGAAAGCACGTGTAGTCACTGGGTAGACGGTGATGACCCAAAGGAGGAGCTGAGGCCATTGCTCTCAAAACTGAGATGCAGGCAGACCCCAGCAGCAGGCAAGCATGAACAGATCAGATACTGCAGGGCAGAAGGTGTTGTGCTGAGGCATGACTTAATCTGCCAAAGAATGACTGGAAAGAAACAATTTAATGAATGATGAAACAACTATAATTAACAAGGTACTGAAAGTGTAGACGCCCTCGACTAAATGAACAAAGAAGACCTGACTTTGGAAGTAATGGTGTCGGTTTTCTCCCAGCAGAAAAAGCACCCAAAGATGACATTTCACCACACCCACAGTTCACCTGGGGCTTTACCTGACAGCGGATCATGACGTGGGTCACTTTAGACTTGCCATCGTTGCTCTCCCCTTTGTCATCTCCGGTGCGGACAGAGAGAACAAAATCTCCAGGGTGGCTCTGGCTCTCCCGTACAAGAAAGCTACCATGTTTTCCTTTCTCAGTTAACAGTTTCTCTGCCTCTTTCCCAGAGAGGTGTCCATGAAACCACCTAAATTTTTTAAAATGAAAATCAACTGAGTTCACATGGGATCATGACATTCTTTCACAAAACTACCATACAAAGTCACCTCTCCTAAACACAGTTAAAAACAGACACATTCCTCCAAGAGACTAATCCATCCCACAT